CCTATTTAGGGAAACTACCTCATGGGCTGAGTCCAAGGTGCGGCTTTGGCACTTCGATACGCAATGACATTACAGGGGCGGCAAGAAGCCTGATGCTACCTGGACCTGGAGCGTCCTCCTGCCATTTTTAGACTCGATAGTTTCATGCAACATCAGCTGATATCAGCTGCAAGGAATTCACAACCTGTGGCGAGGTACGACATGCAAAGCGCAATGTCGGTCGGCAAGAACGGGCCCAAGTACTCTGCGGCCTCCAGGCGTCGGGCTGCAGCCTCAGCGCTGCGATGAGGAGATGGGAACCTGTGAGGGGGNNCTTGTGATCCACTTTTAGGTCCACGACTTGGACAGCTACGTCACTCCTGGCCCTGGAACCTACAACGCGCACACGACGTCCTTCGTGTACTGAGGTGCTGCCTACCCCCCTGAAATCATATTCTGGATCCAAGGAGCTACCGTGAACAGTAGGAAAACGCCAGAGCAAGCTCAGCTGCAGCCAAACCTGTGCATAAAGGGGCCCTTGAGTTCACCCTCCTGATTGATCGGTTCGTGCGTCCTTCGCGATGCAAGGCAAAAAGATTTTCTCACCTGCATGCACATGGATTGCGCTTGCCAACAGCTTCTCGGCAAACTTGGCAAGCTGGGGGGTGGTTGAGTTCATGATGGCTGATCTTGTAGCACAAGGTGGCATGTCTCTTTTGCCAATGAGGTCTCATCAAGTGAGCCCTGTGCAGTGAATCCAGCAAAGAGTGCTGTGGAATCCGCCAAGAGGACTCGCCAGACCTGGCAGACCGGAGATCCACATGCCTAATTAGATTCTAAGCTAGCACAGCGATCCACCATCTCGAAAGCAAGAGGTTGCATGGGAATTGTGGAGCGTTGTGCAGAGGTCCAGCTCAGAGGGAGCGTGCATGCATGACCTTCTGGGGTGGACTGCCTATCATAGGTGGCCTTTCAGCTTTCACCTTGCTTTGGGCCTAGATCATACCTGCATGTCAACTCAATGCGAAGGCCCGGAAGTTTGGCAGGGTTTGAACAATCTTGCTTCGCGTGCTTCAGCCCGATTCCGCTCAAATCGCGTCTCACCCGAAAGAAGTTCAAGGCCCATTCGCCTACGACAAAAAAACTTTATAGCCGTCTTTCAGCTGCTGTTGCAACTGAATGCGACAGACTGTGGAGAATCTCTTCCCTCACACGCCTGCTGCATTGAATGGCATGTTGGGGGGCCGCCGTCTGCCCACAAGAAAAGGACACCTTTCGCGACTTTCGCGTCTTTCTTTGCTTGGCTCACCTGCTTAGAAGCCGGAATGATAAACACCAAGGCAGAATAATAGTAATAACAATACTACTAAAAAATGGTAATAATTCTAATGGTAATACTAATCATGGTAATAATAATAATAAT